CGGCGTTATTACGGCGAATTTCCTAAGAGCATGTTACGCGGCACGCATAGGTGCACGCCAGGCCGCAATGGCGATTAAGTTAATAGCGGCAGCCGATAGCACGCGGGTCCCGCCGCTATTTAAAGCACAAACTGCAGCGCTGCAACGCTGATAAAATTGCGCCATGGGTGTTGGCTCCACGGGCTCGAGGCACGTCACCAGTCCCGCGTCCCGATTCTTTCGGTATTTCGAGATTTTTCCAGATTTTTTTTTTTTTTTTTTTTTTTTTTTGAGATAGATCGACTGCAAAGAAAGTCGATGGTACATAATAAAATTCACATTGACAGTCGATCATAGATACCTCAGATCTTCTAGCATCTGCGAGTTCCTTCGAAGGAAGAACGCTACCTGTAGAGTATAAACGACACTCGGAATTACAGACGAAGATAATCACGCTCGTCTCGTCCTGCAAGTTATAAAAGGGAAAAAAAAAAGACGAAGGCAATTGGATTCCATTCGAGCTATCGAACGAGTCGACTTCAGTGCTTTTTGCGTGAACATCAAATTGTATATAATTATATATATTCTTTACACTACCGTGGGAATCCTCGTCGGTTCAATCGCGGACGAGCCCCCAATTTTGTAGGAATAAAATAATAGTAGGATATTTAATCCTACGTTGTTTAAAATAAATATAAATGTTGTTTATAGAAATAGGAATTAAAATAGAATAAAAGTTCTAACATGGCGATGACAAAAAAATATTAACATACTTAACACTAAATTTATACGCTCTCGCAACTCGCTACTCGCTATAATACTCTCGATCCGCACTCTCACTATTTTCTCTCTCGAATTCCTTCGCGACATGCATCCTCCGTCTCTCTCGCACACAAACACAGCCATACCCTGATATTTTAAGTCCTAGACTTGGACGGCTGAAACAAACATTCCCAGGCCTAGCCTTCGCTGTAACAATTGCAAACGATAATTGGCCTGAAGCTTATTAATCTTAGAAAACTGGGGAATTTGAGATTCGTGAGATTTGCCTCGAGAATCTTTGACTTTTCAAACAGAGAGAGACACTTGCAAATTTTGCAATGTCTCTTGAAAATTTGCAACGAAGGAATTACCAAGACTCCTTCAACCGAGAAAAAAAAATTCAAGTTCAGCGTCTTTCGTGTTCAAGCTTCTCCGTTCTGAGAAGTCACTCGAAAACAAAAAAAAAAAAAAAA